CGCCCCCCCCCCCCCCCCCCGCTCCCGGCCGCGCTCAGGCCCAGCTCCCCCTCCGGCGGGGCTTCTCCCGCCCGCGCCCAGGCACCGCCCCCGGCGGAGGCGGTGCCGCCCCCTCGCCGACCCGGGGCCAGGTGGCGGCTGCCGGCAGCGGCCGCGCGGCGGGCGGGAGCTATGGCGGCGGAGGGGGACGCGTTTCTGAAAGCCCGGGGCAGGACTCTGACCGCCTTCCGCCAAGGTACGCGCCGCGGCGGGAGCGCCGGGCGGAACCTCGGCATAGGGCTGCGGTTCCGGCGGGCTCTCTTCCCCGCCGCGCAGCCGGGCGGGTAGTGCGGGAGGGGCGTGCGGAGGGGAGGCCCGGGGCTTTCCCCGGCGGCAGCGGCAGGAGCGCTTACTGCCGGCGGGGGAGGCGTAGGGCAGGCGCTCGGAGGGACTGGGGCAGGGCCGCGGGCCGTCTACCGGCGCCAGGAGGCCCGTGATAGGGAGCCCCCCGCTCGGGGGGCTGCTGCTGCCGGGCGGCGGGGGCCCGGCTGAACGCGGAGCTGCGGCAGCCCGCTGCCCTCCTGCTGTGCCGGGGCGCGCCCGAAGCGTCCGAAGTTTGTGACCACGTTAGCTGGAGAGCAGAGGCGCCTTGAAGCGTTTGGCCCGCGGTCCTGTCCGCAGCGTGGGTGGCTCCGGCTCCCGTGGAGAAGGTGCTGGTGGTGTCCAACACCAGATTCGTGTTAAAATGCTTGCCAGTGCGGCTAAACCTGATCTCCGTAGCTTGGGACGCTGTTGGTGCTGGCACTATGCTATCATGTGTTCGTACCTATAGGGGTGACCTAACAGGTTACAGGTAGTTCGTTGTTTGTGTTACTTAAGTGAAAGGCAGGTGTACCGTAACGGATGCAACTGGATGAGATCCCAGTTTCTTCAAGGTGCTTCAGCCTCTCTCAGGGTAGAGGTCAGCAGCTAGTTCCTCCCCTGGCGCTTCCACGCTGTGCAGAAACGGCACCATTAACCCCCTCGGCTGGTAGTGTTGTCCTAAAAGAGGATTTGTTACCCGGCGTGCAATAGACCAATCTCACACACTCAGGAGAGATATTGCTTTATTCCGCACAGGGTGCTTGGTGGACTTTCCACAAATCAAGCACACCAGATTCATCAGATGCGTCCCTTTTATACAGCAACAATTCCATCTAATTTATTAAACTACTCCTACCTAGTACATATTCAAACTATCTAATGCGTATACATAGGATTACATAACCATGATACATATATCAGATGCCTTCTCTGCATGCACAGGGGTCGCCGGTGGTCTTTGGTGGTCGTTTGAGAAGGTATCCCCTCCTCACTTTGATGGCTAAGTCACTCTGTATCAGGTCAGTGATTCATTTTCTGCCAAGAGGGATGCACAATCAATCAGGAAGAACAGAAATGGTCAGAATTCGTGCTCCGGGTGAGGCACCATGAAACAGGAAGACTAGAAAAGATCAGAATGATCTTGGTTAACTAACTTAATTTAGAACAGGACTTTCTAATCTACCACAGGATTTCCTATATCTGACATCAGTAGTGCCTGAGTATAAATCTGCTCCATAGGAGACATGCTTCTAGACTTGCCTCCTCCCAGGTGAATAAGGTGATGAGGCCACTGCCAAGCCAAAGATGGCAGCCACCTGCTGACTGCTGGTTCTTGTCTTGTGGCCGGACCAACAGAGGGTTATGTCGAACATCTATCTGTATCTCACCTGTTTGTAAAATTCTCCCAAGGATGGAGATTCTGCAGTATGCCTAGGTTTTTCAGGTGCATAACTAGCTCTGTGTTAAGAAATCTTTTCCTATTGCTACGCATGGAAGGTATTTTGTTTCCTTGTATTTGTTTATAAATTACAAATTGTATTGGTTTGGTGAGGTGGGCAAGCCTATTCAATCCCAACAATTTTGTGGTATTTTCTTGGGTTGCATTGGAAATATTTGGCTTTGCTTGTTGCCAAATAAAGAAAAATCACCAACTCTGAGCATGTGAAGTATATGTATACAGTCATTCTGGCAACCTATTAATTGCAGATGGTGTGGTTGGTTTGGAACAGAATGCCTAGCATTTGTTGAGGGGACAGATGGCAGACAAGCCATCTAGTTATATCAACTGTATAGTGAAATTGTAACAAAAGGAGTGTTCAACGGCAGTGTAAAAATTTCTGAACAAAAGCTTCATGTAAGTACTTCTTGAAAATTGCCTTAAACATGGAAGAAAAAAAATGCGATTTGGGTTATCAGCTTTCCAGGTCTGTTTCTTTCTCCTGAGGTGTCCTTGTTTGTTACTGACTGGTTGTTTTTAATCTTGTTCAGGACTTTTTAGGCTATGATAGTGCAGCTACCATCTTTGGGTACAATGTTTCTTTGTCAATAGTTTACTCAGCTCTTTCTTAAGAGGCTAAAGTTCAACACAACCTTTTAATAACTAAATGATTGGAAAAAAAACAGAACCAAGGACTGATAAAACTGAGGAAAAGTTTCTTGCAGTTTAAGATGAAAATCAGGTATCTGTGTTTTGTTTTTTTCCTCAGTCCTTAGGTTTCACTCCTTCTGTTAAACAGGTAGCTACACAAAATATTTACTACCACTGCTATGGCTTGGCACACTGTTTCCTTTTAAAATTTGAGAGTCACCATTGAGAGCTTAATTTCCTTTTTTTTCCTTACTACTCTTTCTGCAAAATCACTCTTCCATACCCTATTCCCTAATAGTAATTTGTTCAGTCTGCTTTCACATTACGTGGAGGTTATACCTGTAACCTGCTCTAATCTACTCTTGATATGTGTGAATCAGAAGCTCAAGGTTAGGGCTCTAAATTATCCATGTAATCAATGGAGCATAGTAGAAAACAGTGCATAAATACCCTACTTTATTGGCAAGATACCTCTGTTTGCTTTGGCTTTACTTTTTTAATAAATTGCCTGTCTTTTCTACCCATGTTAAATTATGCTTCAGATGTCTACTACTTTTATTAGTATTTTAGTGAAGAAACAGGACCATATATTTGGGTAAACTCTGTCTTCACCACTTCTAAAAAGTCATGGGGTTTTTTTGGTTTGGGTTGGGTTTTTGTCCCAAGTATGCCAGTAGCATGCTGTGCAAAGAATTTCTCTGAAAGTACGTAGAGCACTTTTTTCAAGTAACTAAACAAGTGATAGTACCATCAGCTTAACTGTTTGAGAAATGTCTCTGTTTTGAACCTGTGTTTTGCTAGTTTTAGCTGATGGTTCCAAAACCTTTATCTGGAAGAGGCAGATAACCAGCATTGCATACTCATGTTCTCATTTCCACATGTGTTTTTATGTTCCTCTGTCATGCCTCCCTCACTAATCTTTTGCAAACTCTTCAAGTTAAATCAGTTGTTTCTCTTACTTTTTATTTGCTCTCTTCTCTATTCCTTTCCTATCTCTGCTTTTTTGCCATTACTGAATGTTGAGCTGACTTTTCTTTGTAGCACTTGTTAGAACTATCATTGATTATATGAAGTTAGTGGTGTTTTTCCCATGTGCGCTATCCTGCACTTTTCTACATTGCAGTTCATCTGCTTTCTTGAATTGTCGCTGCGTAATGAAGTGTCTCCCCAGTTGTGCACAACCAGGCCTTATTCTCATGCTGCCAAATGGCTTAGTTTTAGCAAATTGCATTTCTTCCTTATTCAGTTGCTGTTACAGATTGTTTTGAATCTGTTGAACAGTATCTGTCCCAGTACGGATTCAGGTGGGATCTGTGTGTCTTGTTCTTTTTTTTTTCTTAACAGCTTTTTATGCATGCAAAGACTTTCATATTTCAAGACAGCTTGGCTTCCTTAAGAGTCTTTGATGAGTAACTGTCAGACACCTCTTGGAGATGGTATCAAGTGGATTTTCCTTGTCCATGTAAAAGCTGTCCATTACTCTTTCTGAAGAATCAGTTAGGTGCAGTAGTTACTGTCTTTGTTACAGTTTTCATTAACCTGCCTGTACAGATGCCAGTTTTGCAGTCAGTAGCTACCAGACTGCTTGGAAAACCCTTTTAAATGCAGGTGTGATAGTGGCCATCTTCCTGCTCCTCTGGTACAAAGGCAGTTTTAAGCAAGAGGTAACTCCACGGGGGTTAGCTGTTTTTTACTTTTGAGTTCTGTGGATGCCACCTAATCTGAGTGGTTTGTTATTGTTCGTGTCTATTTGTTGAATCATCTACTGGTATTTTGATTTGAGACAGATCCGATGCATTGTCTCTAAGGGAGAATTCTGGCATTAGATCTTCACAAGTTCCTTCACAATAAACGTGGATACAAAATTTTACATTGTTTTTTTTCTGCTCTGCCTTTATCTTTGGGTGCATCTTGCACGTCTGGAACATCTGTTAGCCTTAGTGAGTGTCTGGCAAGCTACCTGCTCCTAATTCCTCTAAAAAGGGCTGTATTAGTTTTCAGATTTATGGTATTCCCAGTTCTTCACTTTTTCTAGCTTGAGTTACTGGACTCTTGTATCTAACTTTCCAGTGTATAAAATCTTCCCTGTTTTCTTTATTTGGATGCTTTAGCTTTTTGACGGATGCTGTCCTGCTCTTACTAGCGTCCTTATGGCTGCTGTTTATGTTGTTTAGTCAGTCTGGATTCTTTTTGGTTTCTGAAGTTCTTAGTAAATGCTGTGCATATGGTGTGACACTCTGGGATAGTGTCTTTGAATAGTTTCCACGCTGCCTTCAAGGATTTTTGCACTTTTTAAAAGCATCGTAATTACATATAGTTCGCCTTCCTTTGAAATTAAGTACAACCACAGTTGATTTCTTATTTTTTCTTGCTTTCACGAGTGTTGGATCTTGGCACATTATGATTACTGTTCTAGAGCTCTTCAACAGTAATATTTTTGAGCACTGATCAGAACTGCTTCCCAGCTAGCATATTCCATTCCCAATACTGTCTCCAACTCTCATATGAATTAGGCAAATTTTTACGTGGGTTTTGAGCAACTTTCTGTGACTTCACCTTGTCATTATGCAAGCCACCCCCCTTCACACCTACAGTCTTGGGCTGTAAAGTTTCTGTAATGAGTTTACATGTTAAATTTGGGGGTGGGCATAAAGGCATGACTAGAGTTTAGCATTCTGTAGCCCTCAGTACAAATAAACTGTATCTGAGGGGGAATTTCCTACCTTGATAGTTATCTAAGAAGTTTAAAAGTATATATTTTAAAAACAGTAGCACTGCCTAATTTATTTGAGAAACTGTATTCT